TGCGCTGATACGGAAAAAGAGTGTTTCATAAATCTTTCGTTTGTTATTCTAATGGACCGACCCAAAAATATTACAAATGTTAGAGAGCGTTCCGGTAATCATAAGATCGAATAAGATTTCGTCGTTTAACGCTTCGTTTTCGAGAAAATCGAACTTGAAGATTTGTCAAATATACACGAAAATGACTGATTTTCAACGAAAGAGGAACGAATAATAATTATTGCATGTATGAAGAAAATGTAGGATAACATTTTTATACTCTCCTATTTCCGAGAAAATTAAATTTGGAGAATACATCGTATCTATTTTCTCGAAGATACCACTTTACAGATTAAATAACCGTTTTAATACATCAATCGCTGTTTTACAACTTCCTACATAAGCCATTTTGACGAAAGGCATCCGAATAAAAATGTATAGTTACGTCAGCTGCACTTGTAATTGTTAGATAATTGTATTGACGCAACGTATGCGTCGATAGCAGCGAACGTCTTAACGAAATTATCCCCCAATCGGAAATTTGTATAATCGTGGAACTAAAAGATCAGTGAATTTACAAAGACGAATAAATTTCAGTTATATTCGATCTTAGTCCTTGCAAATGTAAATATGCGAATTTAACAGGATGGAACCAACATGTAAAAATATAGAGAATTTTTAAATAAGAAATTATTATGTCCCTCGCGATCTGGCAGTTAACACATCTTCTCTGGTTAAGAAAAAGACAAGAAAGTTCATCGGGGAGCGATATGACCAACGTTAGGTATATCCTTAATAGGGACAGAACATCAATGGTTGGATACTGAATTAAATCATAATACCAACTAAATAACGCGGTCGAGTTACCCAAGTGGCAACAAAAAACTAAAACCGAGATATTTTCTAGTTTCACAAGCGTTCTCTCGTTCGATTGAAGCCAAAGTACGAGCCTTTTTACGTAACGGACAAAGAAAGTTCCACCTCACAAAGCGGTCAAGCAATTTTAAGCGCTTGTTCTTTCTATCTCTCGACAAAATACGTATAGTGACTCGTTTTAAACAATAAAACTCTATTTATAAATAAAAGAAAGTTACGATGATGGTTATGACAAATAATTGCGCGTTACAACGATACAGAATGTTACTAAATATTATCAAACATTTCCAATGGTATCGCGCTACTACAAGTACTACTTGTAAATAACTCAACAGTAAACTGTACTACCTGCTGCACATTTGTTTTACCGACGTACAAACGTACCACTCGCTTGGTAACTAGTAACAGACGACTCTACTTGGCTGTGTGTTACCGACCGTATCTACTTAGCGTCGCATCGTCTAAGTAAATACAGTCCAGATGTCATTCAAACATTATATCGAATGTACTCATTCGACGGTGAGCGCCAAATTCGAATTTCAAATGCTGGAAAAAATTTAAAAACAAATGAGAAAAGCTTGTTCTAGTATATAATAAGGAAAAGATACGGCGATTTACACAATTCTTTACGAAAATAATGTAACGTGCGCTAAAAACTTGACGAAAGCCATCAGAAATAATAAAGAATTCTATAACATCATCAATTCGCTAATAATTTTTAAAACAAGTAACTTGCAAAGCCGCGTGGTACGATGATCATTAGACTGCAGATATTTATGCAAATTCATATTTTTATTATTTACAATGAAAGAATTGAAACTTGAATAAAAAATCGTTTTATCTATAAAACATTGTAAAGGACGCTATATTTTGGATATTTTATATACTTTCGCATATTATGTGCATTTTTTCACCTTCAAATTTGTCCATACATGCATAAAAATCTGCAGTCTAACGATCGTACAATGTTCTGAACTTGCATGCAATAACTTTGACTTCTACATGACGAAGATTGAATTTGCAAGAGATTAGCACAACGAGGTCGTGCTTGGAATTTCATACGGACAACAAAATCTATTTACATGTGTGACGTGTCGCGAATAGAAGTGCAAATCGGCAACGCGTTGCAACGAGTGCAGTTAGTCATCGCGAGCGCGGCCGAATGAAAACAACTTTGCCACTCGCGACAGAGGCGTAATACCGTTCTCTGTCAGTTTTCCCAATGAACCGAAAGAGAACTAGCTGGGGGAGACTCGAAGCATTCGACGGCTCGATCCTCGCTGTAACGAGTGTTCGGGCCAAGTAACGGTAAACGCCATATCGCGTCGCTTTTATATATTGTCCTATTCATAGTGCGCTCACTCTCGAACGTATATATTTTTTTCTCTCTCTCTCTCTCTCTCTCTCTCTCTCTCTCTCTCTCTCTCTCTCTCTCTCTCTCTCTCTCTCTCTCTCTCTCTCTCTCTCTCTCTCTCTCTCTCTCTCTCTCTCTCTCTCTCTCTCTCTCTCTCTCTCTCTCTCTCTCTCTCTCTCTCTCTCTCTCTCTCTCTCTCTCTCTCTCTCTCTCTCTCTCTCTCTCTCTCTCTCTCTCTCTCTCTCTCTCTCTCTCTCTCTCTCTCTCTCTCTCTCTCTCTCTCTCTCTCTCTCTCTCTCTCTCTCTCTCTCTCTCTCTCTCTCTCTCTCTCTCTCTCTCTCTCTCTCTCTCTCTCTCTCTCTCTCTCTCTCTCTCTCTCTCTCTCTCTCTCTCTCTCTCTCTCTCTCTCTCTCTCTCTCTCTCTCTCTCTCTCTCTCTCTCTCTCTCTCTCTCTCTCTCTCTCTCTCTCTCTCTCTCTCTCTCTCTCTCTCTCTCTCTCTCTCTCTCTCTCTCTCTCTCTCTCTCTCTCTCTCTCTCTCTCTAAACAACTATTTGTAATTCCCAAGTACGATCTCTGATCATCGAATTAGAGAACACATGCAAGAATTTCAATTCTTTAATTACAATATCCCATATACATTCTATACTGAACAAGACGCGCGTCATTTTGTTCGAGGGCCTTTTTCTATTTATACTTCACTTTTACTCGAGAAATTTTTCGTTAATCAATTCCTTCGAATATCTTTGCAAGACTTTTAGAATATCAGATGTTTCGAGCAAATCTAAAGGCTATGGTAAATGCTAATGAGATTATGATACACGCGAGAGATAGCAAAAAGTCGGACATTACGTTTAACGTCCAGCAATCAGTTCTTTATCGATACACGAACAGGCATCGATTTATCTTATTGAAAGATAAAACCTTTTCGTTAACGAATCTTGATCTACGTACGACCGCTTCCAATGTTTTTGAAATAATTATAAACGAAATTTGTTCATGCCTATTTCATTGATTGGCAGAAACTTATAAGAAACAATCTTGTTCCAATTCCATCGAATCCTACACAGAATATATCGATTGACAAAACTCGCTGCAAACTTTTCGAATAATATGTACGACACGTTAGTAATGAATAAATCTCGCTGCTAAAATTCAACTCTTCATTTCACGGGATAATACGAATTGTAAAAATAAAAATTCTTCGGGTGGTCCATATTCGACGCTTACGCCTCGAGAATCTAATCACTCCTCGGATATTCAATTTCGAATATTCACGTTCAGACAACTTTTCTTCGTTCCCTCGCTCTCTTTTTGCTTTTTCTTTTTTCACCGTGTCAGACGCAACACGTAGCGGCGCTTTAAATGGTTCGCAGATATGTAGGCTGCCACTACGAGCGAGCAAATGCGCTTAAAAGTAAACGACTGAATCGGATAAAACCTAACCCACTTCTTTTAACGCGGCACACGTTCCTGGAAGCGTTTTCCGCGGTGGAGGCGGTCGGGTTCGATTTATATGCGGGTACCGGGCATTGTTTTAACGGTTTGTCGTGTGTCGCGAGCTAGACAATAAGAGCAGAGATTCGCGATGGAACAGCCGGAAATAATAGCGGTATGGCACGCGGGGAAGCGGAGCAAGTCCAACGTGAGAGACGCGCGGAACAACGAGAACTCCCGTAAAAGGCACTTAAAACATTCTGTCAGCGAGCGCTCTGTGGTTTCGTTCGCAGAAACGATTTTATTTCGTCGACAGAGAGACGCGAATATCAGCGATGGGATTGAATTTGATGTAACTATTACAGGAGATGAACGAAGCGATAAGTCGCGCTTTTCTATTTTTTATAAAAAATTAATTGTCATATGTAGTACATTGTCAATTAATCTCCAATGTCTGGAAATTAATTGATTTTCCAACTAAATACACGTTTTTCCATCATCTTCGCAATTTTAGAAATATCGTGTAACTTATACCTATAGCTTCTATTGCAATTTGTCGACTGTGTGTTTGAAATTATTTTTTGAAATTACTTTTAGCTATTTTATATTAAAATATTCCTTCGCAGTTACAAGGTAACACGACAATGAAAAATATCAACAAAAATATCGTGGCTTTTTCCGGCGATTTTCATACTTGTACGGATCCCTTTAATAATCGAATTACCACTGACTCACTCATAGAATCTTTTTATAGTTATGTCATGTGCGCGCTGACTAATGTTAGCTAAGTGTCCACAATCTACAAAAAATATCACAGTTATATCAAGAAGTATAACTGTTCTAAGATTTACGCGTAAGAATGGAACGCATACGAACGTAACGAAAGTTTTCTATGACGAGTATCGAAATATCTTCGCGAGCTACTGCGTTTACGACGTTCCCGGACCTATCGCCAACGAAAACCGTGCAGTCGGTTACTTTACAATTTCGTTGTTAAAGATCTGCCCAATGGAACGCTGCCCAGTAGCACGCGAAAAATTGCTTTCGACGTTTCTCTTTCCAGCCCTCGATTCGTTTCGTCGTTCATTTGGAACGTTCCGCGCTGTCGGCGAAAACGTTTTTCCAAGTCGTTGGCGCCGTAAAGATGAAAAACGCGAAGCTACGTGAAAAAAAACCGACGAAAATCAACGGTTCTCTATCGGTCACCATTCGCCACCTGTTGCCCGCTGAAATTTACTGCTTGATACTGATTTACGATTCCACTATTAATGGAATATCCCGTCTGCCTTTCGCAGTTGGCGCACCAAAACAAATGGCTGGACCGATCGAGATATCCCCAGAATTAAGAAGACTCACCTTCGCTTGATTTTCTTCTCCGCTCTTATTCTGCTTCTCGAAGCCGATGAAACGATTCTGGAAATCGAGAGAATCGGAAATTAACGTCATAGCCACACCCAGGAAATATAGTACAGAGGATCGTAGCGAATCAATTGATTACGCTAATATCAATAATAAATATCAGGACACAAGATAACAAAAGGCACGGTATTCTCCTTCTCTATTCGTACGATAAATTTTACAATATTAAAATTATAGGAGCTTTTAAACAAGTAGCTTAACGTGATTTTTTTTAACGTATATTCTTGTTTAAAAATATCGACAAGCTTGAAGGCTCGAAAAAGATAACGTCAAGGGAAAAAATCCTGTTTCTCCATGTTACTCGTTTTCAACAACTTGATCAATTTTGTCCTGACATACAATATAAGATAGCAATGAATTGAATATAAACGAGACACTCTATATATGTTTTATAATGCAAAAATTCTAAGAAAAAAAGAAAAAAAAAGATTTGTCAATATTTCCCGATTAATGTAACGAAGTAATGTAACGGGTGTCCTAATATTTATGACCAATAACGCAAGTATTGTCCTGACGGTGTGATCGAAAGTCGAATAAATCAACTGCGCACTCAATTACACGTGTCGTTATTTTATTTTGTTTTTTTTTTTTCCTTAGCAAAATAGCGAATCGACATTTCCGTCGATGTTATCTAAACATTCCGGTGTCGTGGTCACACATCAAAATGACGTAACGAATGAAAGTATATAATGACGAGCCTCGAATGTCACCGCTGTCGTATCTCTGAAACTCTCAGCAGAGAAAGTTCTTCGCCGTGCACTTCCTCCTTACCGCTGTTATCTGTTTCCGAAAATTCGAGACGACCGAATTCAACAACCGTATTTTGTTCAGGAATTTCCTCAGCGATCTGCGATGCACGTCGGCCATGTTATTCCGTCAGTTTTCCATACGCGAGTTACTTCACCGGTAAACTTTCATACTTATTACAGATCTCAAGAGATACGAATTCGATCGTTTCTTATTTGACACGGATCGCGAAATCGAGCGTTTCCTGCTCGACACAAATCGCGAAAGCGATCCGTCGTATAAATAACGACTTGCGCGAACGCTTCGCAGTACAGGAAGCTCGCTCACAAGTTGACAAGCGCACATCGCGTACGCGACTAATCACCGAACCGCTAAAGCGCTACGCGATCACACCGATACTCAGAACGAAAAGTGTTCATCGTTGCTATCTTACCTCGGCGGTTTCCTGCTGATAACGTTCACCGACAGCCTGAAACGCAAAAACCAAGTGTGACACGAGATACGACAAATGGTAAGGAACAGTACGCGCGGAATCTAATCCTTCGTTGTATCGGCGAATTCTTTCTTACAACTATCTGCCTTGCGATTGGATACCGTTTATCGCGTCACGCTATTGTTGCAAACAATTACGTATTGTTTCATCATAGGTAGAGATCCGCGAGAGTAAAACATAATTGGAAAAAGCAGATTCACAAACGGTAGGGAAAAAGCTGTGGTGGATTTGAAAAATATATAAAATCTCGTTGTACGAGGGATCGCTCAGGGTCTTAATTAATTTTTGTTGCCCTCGTTCTCATCTTTTACCGCAACGACTTTCTTTCCGGTCTTACTTTCATATCGAGATAAAAGCTCGCGGAAAAATTGGTGTCTGCCGCGGACGAGGTCGACGAACGAGTAAAAGTTCCAACCCTTCCCTCTCCTACGACCCTCTTTTTTATTATCTTCTTTTCTTTTTTTTTTATTTTGCTCTCTTTGTTCTTTTTCCTTTCCTTTACCAGATCTGATATGACGTCTCGATACTCACGTGTATGGTGCTCGTGGTATCCGAGGAGGTCGCCGAGGCTAGCTGGTTCCGGTTCTCTATGACCGTCTTTATTTGCTCGAGCACCTGCAAAGGAACCGCATGCACACTCGGTAATTATCCACTATGCTACCCGTAATTATCGTTTCTGTAAACCCCGTGGCCTAGATTTCAACGCTGACGTCTCTATTAAAACGTTGGGGAAAAAAGGAACCTCTTTCGCGAATCGACCATTTCTGCTTTAACTAACGCTTTTACGGAATTTTCTCTTTCTTTCGTTCCTTTTCGTCTCATCCCGTTCTTCGTTTCAGCAACGAACATTTACTTATTTATCGATGATCAAACGTTCGGTTAAAAGATATTCCTACTTTCATCCTCCTTTCTTTCTTTCGTTCAGTTTTGTTACGTATTCCACTGAAATTTATTTTCACGATTAAGTATCGGAATGATACTTTCTTTTTTTCACTTTCTTTTATAACTGAAAACAGCAGGGGAAGAACACGATGAGTCACATTTTTCATTCTCTTTTTTTTTTTTAAAAGCAGTTTTAAAATTCAGCGGAATATTCCCAATCGGTCTCGTGTTTGTCTAACTTTTGCGTAATTAAAAAACATATTGCTTATCATGATATTCAAATATGCATTGAGAAACATTAAAACATTGGAGATATTAAAACAATGTAAGTTTCAACAACTAATATTCTGGGTTTTTTCCTTTTTCATATTAAAAACATCCCTTTTTATCATGCGATCTGCATATTTTCCTTCGATCTGCATATTTTCCTTCGATCTGCATTCGAATTCGTTTACCGGTAGAAATTTACGCGGCGATCAATCGCACGAAAAAGAGACATTCGTGGGATTTCAATGTCCGTGTCAGAAAATGTAAGAAAAATTACCCGAAGAGATATCCTGTGCCTCTGCACGACGTGTTGATTGTACTCCTTGTGCTCGATCTCGTTGCTCTTTCTCGTTTGCCTCCGCTGTAAAATAAAGAAAGAAATGTAACGCCACGGTCACGACACGCTGTGCTGCTTCCACGTGTCACACAGTTTTCCATGAACGCGAAAACAATATTCGTGACTTTCCTCGAGTATCAGAACGGAACGCGAGCGCGGGCGCCGCTTTTTCTCTTCGCGTGGAACGCGAGTAGAAAGGATCTGTTCGATGTTTCTACGCTTCGGTCCTGAGGAGCTTCCGAGCGCAAAACGTTCGCTCCTCGCTTTCGAACGAGATAGAAATTTTACTCGCGGTTTGTAAATTCACAGATGTACAGAGATCGTCAAAGAGCTAATTCCCAAGAAATATTTTACGGGTGGCTTCAGCACACCGAAATAATAAAAAAGATTTGTATAAACGTATGCTCTATTTGTTTTTGTCTTCGAGTTACAGCGAATTTTACATAAAGACACCAGCAACAATTTAGTTTAAGGGGCAGATTCTCGCGTGACGACGATATAAACGAGTGATTTTTATAAATTTTTAACGTAAATAGATAGTTTTGAGGTACAAATGTAACTTCTTTATTTAAGTTCTCCTTACTGTTTAACAATTTTTTAAACTGCAAGGTTTAATAACTTTTTAAAGAATGGGTAGGGATAATGACGAACAATAGGTGATATATTAATAATAAGTAATAAATGAACCTTTGTTTCGAAGTGATAGTCTTGTGTCAATTTTTTTAAAGTACGGACTAGAATGTGGTTTGAAGACGTATCGGTTATCGTTAGTTGCGTAATTTACAAATCGAAGATACCAGCGTCAATGACTCTCATACCACCTGCGCCATAATTCATATTTATGCTTGTCAGTACACGAAGGAAAAGATAAATAAACAAAGGAAAATATAAATGAATGATGAGACTGTGCACACAAACATCTTCAAATGTAAATAAACACCGGTGACGGTGATAAACAAGCCACGAAAATAAATAAACAACTCGTAAATGTACACAAACGGACAAAATGTTGTTTCTATATTCTGATCGTGCTACATTATCCAACGTCAAAATTACAGTCAAAGAGTTAATTGCGCGTGTAACTGATAATTACTACCAACAGAGTTGAAGAAACTTTCCCGGATATACGAGAGCGAAACACGTTTTCACTCCACATTGTGAACGTATTAAGACACGGATTTTATTGCACGAATATATTCATTTGCAACAATAAAGAGGAAAAAATACGCTCGAACAGCGATTGATTGGAAATTATTCTTCGCTGTGGGCGGAAGAGCGAATCTCGTGAGTCGCGTACAAGCAAGCACGCGACGACAATTAGCAAACAAAGCACAAGTCAACGCGTTATAAATCGTCGGCCGTGGAATCTCGGTCGATCACCGGGCCGCAACGACGATAATGAATTATTTGTTCGGCGAGTCGCGCGATCTAGCACGCCTACGCTCGGCAAGCGTAGCAAAACAAGAAAAAGAATATACATCGATGGAAAGCACACACAGCCACGTCTCTGTACAGTGGCTGGTCAAAGTATGGCTCATAAGCATTTCTTCACCTATAGAAACTTCTTACGAACGTATATTAGGTTGTCCGAAAAGTGTCTTTCTTTCGCAAACAAACAGTTTTTGTTTTTTTACAACAGTGTATCTTCGTACAAACGTGAAATCAAGTCTGTGAAATGTCGCGGTGTTTATTTTAACAGAACAAAATGGATCGTACGTAATTTGACAAAATAATATAAAACAAAAAACGTTGTGTGTCTATTATTTCCTCATAAAACGAAAGAAACTTTCCGGACAACCTAACACATTGGACACATTTATCCGTATTATGAATTTGCTATATGTATACATTTTTAGATTGCTTTCAATTTTGACAAATATAACTACGACGGTCGTATCTCGTTACAACGCTGATCAAATTTCGAAATGTTTTATACAACGTACATAAAACATACAAGAAAGTTCTTTTATGGTAAACAGCCAAATACTTTCATGAGCCACTGTATATTCTTGACCAAGGATTTTCGTTTTTCCGTGGCACATTGCACTCGCCGTGTCACGATTCCTTCATAAATAATTCAACGCGCCGTTTTCGTATTTCGGTGCTCGATTTAGACGCCGAAGTTCACGGTCGAACGCGTCGAAATCCGCGTGAGAAATCATCGAACGGCTTTGTCCTCGTTTAGCGAGCATCGAACGAAAAATTTAATCAGCATTAAGGTGCAGGATCGCAGGAAATTGAAGCAGGTTGGTCGATGATATGTCCCCACAGGTATAGCCAATTTTTTCTACTAATAAACAATTCTCGTTTTTAAAAAGGTTTGTTTCCCTTCGCTCCCTCTTCTTTTGCATCTTGCTGTATCAAAAACGTACGATATACAAATGATTTTGGAATTACAAAAGATATAATATTATTACGCAGTCGAGAGGCAATCCCGCTGGGACGAAAATAAGACAACTGTGCATCTTTGATCGGCTAGGTTGAAAAGAATTGTACGTTAAGGGGTTAAGGATACGAAACGTTAGTCACAGCGTGAGAGCACGCGGCGAGGAAATTGGAAGACGAGTCACGAGCCGATCCTGGACATGTGTAACCGCCTTAACTCGATTCACGCGTGCCTAGAATGCCTGCCTTGGCATTATGCTCATTGGATAACGAGAATAACGCCTCCTCCGCGTCTCTGTTTATCATTCTCCGCTCTAGTCAGAAGAATTACAACAATCACCGTGAATCAAGTCCGATGCGATTGTTTTCAAACGGTGAACGTGTTACGTCTCAACGAGACTAGTACAGATTTTTTCCTCTGATATGGCCCGTTTTAAATACGATCGGCATACTTGATTGCTATCTGTACCTACGCGGAATTTCACCGCAGATTTTCACTAGTTTTCACTATTCGAGAAATGAAATTGAGAGTCGATCAACTTGGCTTCCAAGACGCTCGTAGCATTCGAAACGCTTGCGTTAAGCTGTTCAACGTTCTTTTTTAACGTTCGCCCCTCTGATCGTCGTTCTTTTTCGAATTCAGTAGCTCGTAAATAAAGAAGGTACTAACCTCGAGGGTAGCTAGGCTGGCCAGCGACGAGAGAGGTCGAGTGTGAGGAACTTCTCCGGGGAAAACGCTGTCGTGCGAAACGGACAATTTTACGGCTCCTCCTCGCAGTTTCACAAACGAATCCTCCATGCCTGTCCTCCTGAGGAACACGCTAAAAAAACAAAGGCAAAAAGATGCCATTGAACGGAGAATGGGAAATTGGCTTGCTCGTCGTTTGGGCTAAAAGAAAAGCAGCATGGTATTACAGATTAAGGATATTCATTTACAGGCAGCTTTTTACTCAGGAGCATAAAATAGCAAAGAAAAGAAAAAAGACTATGTTTAGAGATAAAATAGAAATGAAATGTAACGATAACTGCATTCTAGAATGACTCTCGTTCGATACAACTGGATCTTTTGAACTTTGAACTCTGACTTTCTTTCAGCTCTTGGAACTGAGAACGATGGTTCGTTCAAGTCTCTCTCGCGTCCCACTCATTCCGCATTTTTATACAGTCCGGGGCCATCAAATTAGCAGACCAAATTATTCTCAGTTAGGCAACTTATTAGTAAATAAGATGATAATTTATACGTAACAATTAATTTCTAACTATACCATGGTAAGGAGCGAAATTACAGAATTCCGCCAATCGAAGAATACCTCGACACTCTTATTACCAAGCAATTCATTTCGCATGAACGCTTAAATATGTCTGAAATCACTTGTGCACTCATCCCAGAACGTCGTATTACCATAATTACCGCGGAAGAAAAAAAAAAGCCGAGTACGAGGTATCATTAAGGCCAGAGGAGAAATAGAAATTATCAACGTGTACAACATCTTAATGATTAATTAATAAAACGTTAGACTTCGTTTACTCTACTGAATTTTACCAAAAAGAAAAAAAGGAAAATTAAAATACGTTGGAAATCTTGACTACTAATTCGATCGCCAGGCACCGTAAATCCCGCACATTACACGTTCTTGCGTTTTGCTCGTTTAATACAGAACAAAATAACGAGAACTGTACCTGATAATCAAATTATAATGATACGATAATTGAATTTTTCAGTGACTCTCGCTCGACACGACTCGATTCTCTCTAACTCTGACTCTCGCTCTTAACACTTCAACGATTTGCACAAAATTCCCTCGTTTCTCGGTCATACTGCGTAACAAATAATCTCATCACGTAATTGCGATCAAATTTCAATGCGCATGTTTTTAACGTAGCTCCTATATAACCAGCGATAATCTAGCATAAATATTCGTTCGGTTCTCAATCACGTGCTAGCGTCTTCTAGTCGCAGTCTATCGGATAATCTAGCGGCAAGCAGCGAATGGCAACTGCTTTTTCGCGGATCTCGCGTGTACACGCAATTATAAAACTCGAGGATCAAAAGGTCGATCATACGACAACGTGAATCGATCGAATCAATCTGACGCGAAATCATTCGCGGATCGTTACGATTCAGATTGAGAAGGTTATAGCATAACAGCCAGCGTGTTGGTTTAAAGTGACTTTGATCGAGTTATCCGCGGGATGGTCGCAATCGAATTACGAAAATAAAGGATAGTAGGTCAGCAAGGTATCGCGCAGCGCGTGTAAGCACGCGTATTGCGAATTAACACGCGAACCATCGCGATCTTCCGTACCGCTAAATCGTACAGAAAAGCAAAACTCGAGCACAGCTCGAACCAGGCCAAGGATATTGACTCGCGGTTAACTTTTCTTCCTGTCCGCGAATCGGTTGCGAAACGCAAGCGCCACCAGCTCGGCGAACGTCGCCGAACGAGCCATCAGTGATATTTCCCTTTTGATTCCGCTGTTCTCCTTGGTTCTATACGTATGTGTAAAATAAAGATTGAAATTGAAATAAAAATTATACTTCGGTAGGTATTGTATTTTTAAATATTATTGTTTTTGTATTCCAGGTATTTGAAGTTTACCTTAAGTACTTCTAAACTCTTCTTTTCGTTATTTCTAGTTTAAGGTTCTACTTCATCAGGTACTTTGTATGTATTTCTTAAGAACAAAGTGTTTCTAAATTCGAAAGAGAATGATCGTTTACAGTGGATCAGTGTGCACTATGATCGTTTTCAATGGAGCCTATTTGATCATACTAAGTATTTAATATATCGTGTCATAAGTTTATTTTAAAAAAAGATATGTATTTTTCAAGACTCAACATTTTGATATAATGTATTTTATATGGAATAATTATTTTATAGCTTGGAACAATTAGAGGGTCGTTTTGATTGTTACGTTGTTCTACATCCACTATTTGCGTCTGCACATTCTTCTTCGATGTTTGTTTGAAAGTTAATTTCTATTGCAATATTTGTACGAATAACGTGCCAATCTCTTAGAACTTTTTTACTTGTATTTGCTTGGCCGGTGTAATTATATCGTTCATAGTAACCGTTCCTTCATCGTTTTTAGCGATCGTTTCTGAAATATCTAAATATCCATAAATATAATATTCTCGAGTGCTTTTGTCGACTGAGTTAGCATCATGGCTTGAAGAGATCCAAAACTCGAAGAATAAATGAAGAGAACAGCACAGGAATATACAACAAACAAGCCAATTACGAAGGTGATAAGAGCCAGGCAAGCGGCAAAGCTGCGGAGCGACGACAAAAGAGAAGAAGCTACTAAACGAAGAGATTCAAAAGGAGTTTTCTGTCGATGATATTTACTGTTTGAAGGAGCGGTGCGACTTGGAGGATGTCGTTAACCTGCACCTTCTCGATGCGGTTTGCCCGCTGAAATGGTAACAATGCGATAGAACTCGACTTTCTCTATCTTCGTTCCGGCTGCCTTTAAATAAAGACAAACGACTGTAATTAATCCTTTGCGCTTAGACTACCGACTCGAAGCTTATTCGTCGATATTCGAACACAGCTATATCTCGCATCTATTTGCCATTTGCAATTTGTAGAATTGCTATTCTGTGAAATATAGAGCCCATCGAAACCTGAACTATAACTTGGAAACAAACGATCGTTTTGACACTGTTACGAATCGACCTGTAGCCATAGAACTCGTACAGTGGCTACAGAAAATTATGTCTTTATAAAAAAAATAGATGAAACAGATTACTAAAACAATATGATACAAATAGTATGAAATAATATAAAAATAATATAAAAGTAGATTTTTCAATACAAATATTTTCATGATAATTACACATTTATAAAGCGGACGATCTGGTAGATTTTAATAACCTTGAGATTTAGTGCCAAGGTCTGCATTCTGAACAACTTCTCCCTATACATGTTACAATCACTCGATTTTACTTGCCCATATATTCGCAAAGGTTTCCGTTTCGACGACAGTACGATTTTGATGATCGAATAGTCGCTTTTTTCAATATCTTTGCTGAAGTGTCACCCATTACAAATAGCAATAACATAGTATAAAATTTAGTACGAACTGTACCTGTCTTACTATTTAAAACCTTAACTTATTTCAGCGATAATAGTGAATAATTATCTAACTGAAACTAACCAGCCGATTGAATCTAATCCATTGATTTTTCTTTCTTGTGTGAATTAAATATGATTATCGAAAGTGAGTTAGATTTGGTTATAATATAATCAAATTATACAAAAGTATGCCAGTTCTGTGCCAAAGTGAAGTGTAATCGTAACGTGAATTGAACTGAAGTTTTTTGCGAATATCTCGGAAATTAAGGCCGAGCGACGGTAACGCGCATAGGGAAAAGTTGCTCAGAATGTACGCCTTGACAACATATTTCAAGGTCGTTGAAATCGGCGAGGTCGTCCGCTTCGTAAATAATTACGATTTTCACTTTTACGCGGTGAAATATTTAAGAAGATCTGTCGATGTTCGCCAAATTTACAGTAAGCCTTTCTTGCTAAGTAAATCTTTCTCAATGCTGATTTTTCAACTGCCAAACCTAACTCTCCGTAACGTTATATAAGCACCTACTTCTTCTTGCATCGTTCAAACAAAACTTCGTATTCCATTCAACTGAGCTGAAATTCCAAGCGCAAAGAATTAACAATTACCTAACGCGAAAGAACACGAACTACCGGCGTATCTCGACGATCAGAATGAGAATAAAGAACAACAAGAAATTAGGCAACAAGTGGCAAAACTCACCTGTCTCGATCGCACGAGTCCGTGAGTAGCTCGCTGGCGCTCCTGCTGCGAGCCTCTTCTGGACGTCCCGCAGGATGTCTGTCGGTGATGTCTTCCCTCGGAAGTCGTACGAGTTCCGCATCTCGATCAACATGGCTGGCGACCACTCGAGCATCCGCAGGTCCTCGACTTTTACGCCGAAAGATTCTCCTGAGGCCACGAAGCGGATGGAAGCGGCGCTTCTTTGGCTCTGTGGAGACCAAAGGTACGTATACGGCAAATGTATTTCTTGTGACTGGGCGAAGCCATGAATTTAAAATAAAATTTATTCAAAGACGTTTCTAGATGGACAGATCTTTATTAATTGTTACCTGCCAACTACAAAGTGAGATTAGTTCACAAAAAAATTAATTCACGTTCATCCGTACATATATCATATGTATATTAATTGCTTAAATTTTATTTAATCTTTCCAAATGTTTTTATGATTTACTTAATCTTATGTTAAAACAGTAGGCGAGGTTTCATTTTAAACAATATAATGATTTTAAGTGCTACGAAGGTGTATAAAAAATTCAATTAGTCATATACTTCGTAAACATTAATCGATGTATTTATTTTCTTTTTTCTTTTTTTTTGGCTTTGTACAATAAGGTTTGAACCTTCTCGTATCCAAGGAAACAATTGGTTTAAGAAATATTTTGAAAGGAAAAACGCAAAGTAATACTTCCCTACGTTTTCTTGTTATCCTACTGCTGTTTTCCTACTGCTTTGTATTGCATGGATAGAGATGATATATTGCAGCCGTAAATTAAAGCTTTAAGAAGGAACATCCATCGATGCTTACTCGCATTCAGAATCGTACACAGAAGAAGCAATTTCAATCTTCGACTACGGAAGTTATTTCGTATTAGAATCATCGGAACGTTTTGTCACAAGATTCACATATTACATGTTCGAAGTACGTGCTTCCATGTTCATCGCTGATTTTATGATCGCGCTATATCGTTTTCACCTAGTACTTACACATTACAATCTTCATGGTGGAAACATTACACGCGCGATCATCGTACAAAATCGTAAAGAACCAGCCAATTAGCCGGGCCGATCTCGCATGAACTTTCTCTTTGGCGATTGCGTAACAAGCGTCGCGTCGCGATGTTTGCGCTCAGGCTCGAGCGGATTCGAGCGAACCTGTTATCAATGGGAAGTGAAAACCTGGCAGCTCGATCGAGAGAAACGAACCCCTCGTCGCGTGCAAGTTTCTCTCGATTAGAAACCACTGTTCCCGGTCATTTTTCTGATTGCTTTTATTTTTTGCCCCCTTCGATGAAATTGCCTCTGGATTAGCGGATAATTCGTTCGAGCACTTGTGATGAATAGACCGCGGATGTTTCTCAAGATTCATATTTTTACGATGATTAGAATAATCGTTTAGAGATCTAGTCTCTAGTATAATATCCAGACTGCGAGATATTCGCCTAGAACGATACTTTTTAGGGGTTTTCAAGGTCACTGAAGACGAAAACAAGGGTCGTTTTTCACGGAAACAAAGCGTAACAGATTTCGGTCAACCTGTTAATGCCTGGCATCCTGGTGGACTTTGACGAAATCTTTTTTAAGATATGGCACTTTTAACATAATATATGGCTTGTTCTATACGCATTTGAATCGCGAGTGTCGGATTAGTTTTGTGGAATTTTTTATTTTCCAGAGAGCGGTGAGCGGTAAGCGGTAAAATCGGCACCTGGAGCATTGGCATTGGCTGCTCCATCGCTTGTTTTGCCGTTTACCGCTCTGTATGATCACGTATAGTCATACGCGTATTTTTACAGTTATAGCCAAATGTTTATAAGCCCGAATTTCCAAAATCGTTTATTTCTGCGAGAAACAAACCTCATTTTCGGTATTAGAGACTCAAAATGTCCTCGAAAAGGCACATTTGGATAAAAAGTTTTTCTTTTCGGATACTACACATTATTTAAGATTTATTTCTCTGTCACTTTGAGATTCGTTATTCTGCTAAATTTTGTACTCTCTCTTTCTCTATATATAGTATTTTGCAGTGACTAAAACAAACTAAAAATTGTCGGTACCAAGATTACAGAACAGAGTGAATGCTATAATTTTTAGTTAAATTATTTTAAATATTCGAGGTTTCCGATATGTGTAACTTCTACAAGATACCATGGCAACCAGTAGGATAGACCGAGGCGAATCGGATCACAGAGCGAATCGGATCAACGACTTAAAACGATGGCGATATAACAAAAATGAACTGAATTCTTGTTTTGATCCGATTCACCTCGTATCTACGTAAAGTAAAAGTTTTAATTTATAATCTGATCGATCACCCGTAAAGTATACAATTCTCTGTATTTCTGCGCATTTAAGTATCACATAAATATACAAATATTCAAAAACTAGTGGTGGATCGAAGAAAATCCGACAACAAGCGAGTTCGACTAAAAGCAAACAGATAATCACACCGAGACTGCGTTCCTATGTACGTACAAGAGCTTATCGATCGAAGCTTTGTGGATCGCTGTCTATCTCGCAGATAATCCCTCTATTAAAAGCAGAACATCGGTCTTTAATGTCACTAACGGATGAATCACGTTGAAAGGGAACCGTAATTCCCCGTATGCCCTACTTTACGTTAACCTCGCGACAATTTTCACGCTACGTGCCGGCGGGCAAAGAAAATCGGATTTCCAGGGAACGTTTCCTGACTCGACGTGGCTGACCCATTCTAACGCTTCCCAAACTATTCCAACGTTTATCATAGAAAACTTTTATGTGTTTTAGCTATACAACGATAAACTCGTCTTAAACGTCTCTAAACTGTCTCTTGAGCATCGTCGTTCTATGTTTGATCTATCGTTCGCTTGAAGACAACGCGTATAATGATCCTGTTATTCGTCCTAAAATTGTTTCTTCCTTTGGACTTGAACTAATCACATTTTGATCAGTTTTAAGACACGAATGCTTACTACGTGAGAAACAGCACAGGACTTTCCATGGTCGATTTAACTGCTTCAATCGTACAATTTATTAACGTCGATAATTTTGTACAGGTTTCTTAATCTTTTTTGTTCACATGCTAATTTCAGATCGAAAGTTATCTCTATTTTTAGTATCCTGCAATGTTTTCCTTTGATTGTATTTTTTTCTTTGTGCTCTAAAAGATCTTTACCCGTCAATCTTGATAATTAATGAAAAGTCACGGGTATATTGCACGTACGTATGTATACCGTATGTATACTCACATAACCAAATGGTAGATGCTAAGACATAATTATTAAAAAATGATAAATTCTTTATACGTACGTGTATCTGAACCTTGTATTGCTACACAACATTGTAATAGATTAATCGTGTACTTGACAATCAAAAACTAATTATCACGTTTCATATAAGATCAATTGATACGTGATATACATTTTTAGATTTATTTCATATTTTATCAATACAATTACGACTCTGGTGTCTCGTTACGATATCAATGATATCAGTAAAATTTCAAAATTTTTCGTATGTGTAGCACACATAACGTACTCGTAAAAGTTTTCTACAAGTATTCGAATAATTTCGTGGACTAGGTCGCTGGCATATATATAATATAGAAAAATCAAATAAAAAGTACGGTATAATAAAATATATTCGTTCTTTCGAGATGAAGGGATCGAGAATTTTCTTCTGCAACTCTGACACTCGAAGACGACGACGACAGGTTATCGGGTAGCGACAACGGGATGCTGGATAAGCAAATAATACGAGTCCTTGAGAACCGTGTGGCACTCGTTAACGCACGGATGCCTTTTAATTGCGGAGTATCGGAAGAAAGGGTCGCGACAAAGAGGCGAAGGCAAGGTGAAAGGGAAAAAAAGTCCGGGGGACGAGGACTGTACCGGCGCAAAGCGAGACCACGTTTTGAATCGTCGAAAAGGCACGAAGAATAGGATCAGAAGTGGAGGGTGCGATTCAGAGGGTTAACCGCGACACCCTCTGTTCGTCCTCAGTCCTCCACGATTAAAAACCACACGCAACGCACGGAAACTGCCTGGCTATGTCTTTCCTCTCGAGACCCGAGTCTCACCAAAGTCGTTTCGACAAAGGGTTGCTGCTTTTTTCTTTTCGACAAATCCACTCGACAACCGCACGTCCCTCTAGACACGCAATTTCCCTGCGATACGCACCCTCTAAATTCGCGATCGCGAAATCACGGCGAATTGGCACGAATGTAGGCGTTACGCGTATGCATATGTATGTATGTGAACGTAAATTCGTCGTAGAAAGGAAGGCTGATTTAAAGATTAAGATTCCAAAGTTCGAAGTAGAACGAAAATAAAAAAAAGACGAACTTATTGAATTTTACAATTTTTTTTAAGCGATAATCTCAATAGATAGAAGCTATGGGTTTTATAATAAACAATTAGTTTTAACGTTTATTATTGCGGAAATTGATCTATTTATCTTATCTGACTTTACTCGTGGCACGAATCTAGGTCCACAAATATCTTCAATATTTTGTTGATTGCGAAGTATTTTATTGACATTTTCATAACGATATATAGGATGATACGATTAGCAAGAACAAGATAACATTGCCAGAGCATATAACTGGAACAACTTCGATCACTCTACTTATCTAAACTTCACTTTTATTGCAAAGAAATCTTAATTAATGCGCGGTTAAATATACTCTTGATGAATGAATCAGTTATCTGAACGTGAATTCGAGTTACATGAACGAAAAGCCATATGTAGTGAATCAATGAACTTCTGTTATATGAACTTTTTCTTTTCCGACGAATTCAAGTAAATGAAGTTCTCTGTAAAGAATGATTTTAGTGAAAAATATTTGAAACGTATGTTGAATGGTTTCGTAGAGGGCATAATCTGATATGATTAATCTTTTTCTGTGGACGTATAGAAGACACACGAAAATCAAGCTTGTTTATTTTTTGATAGTATTATTTATCTTTTACAGAGTAAACCCATAGCTCGTCGTTCTCTATAAAAATGTATCAGTCTGTTTACATAAAAATATCACTAGTTTAGGATGTGTAAATTACATTGCTTTAAATAAATGTTACATTGAAATTGAAATATCTTCTAAACCGATATATTAACACTTTTTTTTATGGAAATTGTTGCGTCGTTTACCACGATAAAAAACATATGATTTCCCGTTAAAGAAGAAATAAAACAGTGTTTAATCTTTATGTGTCATTTACGTATTGATCTTCAGAGAAAACTAATTACGTCAAATTACGTTCCTCTATAAAGCTATGCAACTTCTATTTCAAACATTTCTAACTAAAATCGTTACTTACAAAAGAATCGAAATGGTTACAGTTATGTGTTCCTGAATATAGGCAACATGCAAGTTACCAAAGAAGTCTGCAAAATCCTCGTAGAATTGCATCCAGATAAATTTTCCACGGTTTTGTCAATCGCGCATAACGGTATAAACCTTACTAACTTGACAATTCGATAACATAGAACCAAGGTAACCATCGATAAGATACGCTTCTGCCATATGATATCCTATCTACTAGTCCTTATAAGGTAGAAATAAACTGATAATCGCGTTTTTCCAGATCCATGTTGAAGAAATTATTTATTTTTCGTTCAGCGATCTAACACGTTTCTCTCGTATTCTTTGTTTTATCTCATAAGCCGTGACATTTAATTTTTAGAGTTGTGGGCTACGTCGATACACGCGTATCGTGAAAGTGTGGCCCATTAACTCTTCGAGTGTGTAATCAATAATATGAGTAATACGTTAAATATTCGAAAAGCAATTCTATGTTTAACGAAAAAGCATCTTGTACAGATACACGGTCACCGCCTGTATGTAACGCGATAGTACAATCAGGTTTTCTATGATAAGTATTCAAATACTTTCATGAACTACTGTATAACGACTCCATCGAACGTTATCAGCGCGTGTCGTCTCGGGACGACCGCATCTCCGCGAGAATTTCACTCGGCAATTACGCGACGCTTCGATCCCAAGCTGTCACCTTTTTTGTGCGCTTTCACGCGCGCGTGACCGTTTTAATCTATTCCAGCAGACTGGTAAACGAGCACGAAAGTCGCGGATAGTATCTGCGCATAATTGGAAATCCTATAATTCTTGGGTAAGCTCCGCGCCACGGAGTAACTTAATACGCGCGTTCGAGTGGCCATTCATTCCACGATTGGCCATGGCCTAGTTACGCCGATTCTGTAAATAACCGTGTGCGTGTTCTTGCACAATATCGACTGGCCACCACCTTCCTTTACCAAATTTCCCACTCGATTCAACGTCTCGATTGCACTCGACGACAACTTCTACCCGAACAAAGTTTAAAAAGTAAGGTTGCAAGGAAACTCGATACTTTTCTGTTAATAGGTGCACGTTGTCGTTCCACGGATCAGATATCCTCCACGTCGAATAACACTCGAGGGTACGAGGCACGACGTATTGGTGGCGAAGTTTAAGCAAAAGTCCGAGGAAAATTTACTTTTTGTATTTTATTGAACGACGTATCAGTTTAACGTATATGTGATATTTGGTTGAAGTTGAAACTCGATAAGTCAAATTATCACGAAAGCTGCATTTTAAGAGAGAATCAAGATACCCTCTACTCCATCTGAATATTTTTTTACTGTACCTGGAAAAAAGAAATCGTAACGATTCCATTCCAAGATTCGTTGAAATTTGCGATCGTTATATTTGTCAACGTTACAATGTACGGAGTTGATCAACGTGACTTCTGAGCAACTCAAATACGCTTGAAATATCAAAGGTGCCTTCTTATTGCTGAAAATTTTTCGGTTGTCAATAATTCTATGAAAAATTGCCGAACGGTCAAAAGGGAACGTTGATAGCAAAAAAAAAAAAAACGGCCGGCTGTTTCGCATGTACTTGACACTCTCTGCGAGTATATTCTTCACGCATCAGCTACTACGACATCGCTCAACCGTGAAAAATAGCGTCACGCGCGAATCGCACGACGTAGCCTGTGTCTGTAGCCAATAAAAACAGCTGTTTTCTACGTTCTCCGGATAGAACCGAAGCAACGGTGTACCACGGCCGTTTACGTAACCACGGTTTGCCTAATTTCGACTTCGAATCGACCGGATAATCCGCAGGCGTTTTATACGTTGCACGAGTCCGCTGATCTCGTTTCACCGACTCGTCAATCACTTTACAGTCATCGTGCGCCTATATTTCAGCTTTGGACAGATAAAACTCGTTTGATTCCAAATGCGAAAGACTTCGAGTTGCAAGAATGGAGGAATTCCTTTGGACAAGATAGGTACAAGAGACAATTAAACGAATTGCGTTGGATAGTCGAGTTCTAGTCTTTTTTAATATTTTCTATATTTGAATTGATAATCGTAATGGATTAAAAAATCTTGCTCTTTTTATATTTATAAAACAGAGAAAAATTTTGTAATAATAGAACTATTTGATTACAAAATGCGCTCGAAAACTACGGTGCTTGCTGTATGGAGAAATGGAACACGAATTGTGGTGTAATTATCTTCTCTGCAGATCGTATAGAACCATCGTATAATATATTTCTTTCAACAGAAGCACAATTTTCAACGTATTAATCGACGCAATTCGCAACTACATGTTTACCATAAATCTACAGAACCTTCTCCAGGAAGTTTTTCAATTTCAAAATGAAATGAATATTAATTAATCGCGCGTATCACAAGGAAAACTAAATCATACAACGTTCCGAAGGTTTCATTAGAGATGTATCTTACCGAGGTTTGCGTTCAATACCAGCAAGTGTCTCGCGACTCATGGGCGGAAGTCGCGTTAAAAAAGAAATTCCCTCCAGTAATCATGGTATTACGATACAGGACGATGATCGATCGCGTGCAAACCATCTCGGGCGGGATTTAGAAAACACGCGAAAAGTTTCTGTTAGAGCAGAAAGATGGTGGGATTAAGGTGAAAGTTTCCGGTAAGAGATTTCTGGTTCCGTTGAACGGCTGAGCGTGCTCCGAGAATGAGAATAATGGACACGGTCGCAACGAGTTATTAAAGGGTAATCCAGCAGAGTGCCCTTTATTCATTGTCGTTGGAGGAACGTGACTTCGTTGCCGTTACTCGGGACGTTGCGTTTCCGAGTGGGTCCAACGACCTCTTTATTTTCATTAGCCTCCGGTAGATTACGAGGCTCCGGGGTAGATTAACTCGTAAGTTAATATCTCAATCGGCCGCGTGATTAGCGATTAACTTAAACTGCGTTTTCGAAACGCTGCGGGCCTGCCTCGCTTTTACCGTTTCCGCCTCGCGATTCAATACGCTTTTCGTTTAACTCGCGTTCGTTTCTATTTTCGCCGAATATCGAATCCAATCTTTACTTCCGCGATGAAGTTTCATAGAACTCAAATTGTCTGTATATTTTTGTGCGACGATGTATGTGGATATCGAGTTTATCTTCTAGTTGAACGGTTTAATTATTTTATACAACTTTTCGTTGTTTTGGCAATATAGAAAGAAACGAATCGTTTAAGGGTCATTATAGTTATCGATTCAAGCATAACATTAAAAGAACTACAACTTTTTAGACAATTTTTGCTTCCAATCCAATCCAATTACTCGCTTAAATGAAATCGAGCATTGCCTACAATATGCTTATTTCAAGCGTACTACTTGAAGGTGTCGTGTGATTTATGGATGATAATGAAAATGTACAATATTTGTCGATGTACGATGGAATAAACGTTACTCGTGTTCCTCTAATAGATCGCGGACAAAATTGTGAAATCGATAGGACAGTCGAGCGGGACCGCAGAGAATGTATCGTTTACGTAAATCCGTTTTTCATAGCACGGCTCGTTTCGCCGCGACGCGACGTTGTAATCCGCGTCTGAGACCTTGAAAATACGATCTTCGAGTGAAACGTCGTTTTCCGAATGCTACCGTCTAGACCGTAGCCGTGAGCACGCAATTTTACCTTAATTTATCCTACCAAACATTCGTCGCAATGCTTCGATCGATCGAGAGTTTTCAATTTTCGGTATCACCTACCGTATGATACCTAGTCAACAAATTTTTAAAGTCCTATGGAAGTTCATTTTCACCTTCCCACTAAGAAATAATCAAACAGCTCTGTTGCGTGAATTTTTCCATTCTAAAGCTGACAATTTCTATAAATTTGAAATAACGAAACTATACATATAGAGTTACTACCTGGAGAAGTGGATTAAATTACGCAGAAATTACTTTAATTAAATGTATCCAGAAAATAATCGGACAATTTTGTTCCACGAATTTTTCAGTTTTGAAACGGAGCTACAGCAATTACTCATTGGAAGTGTATTAAAACGTGTAAAAATTACGTCGATTAAATATACGACGTTTGAAGAAAGCTACACGCGGCTAAAATTTTATTTACAAACCGAGATAAAATTTCCATATGCACCAAACTAATATTTAAACCGATTTAAACTAACTCTAGTCACTAAATAAATAGAATTAGTAATGCAAACGAACCTTTTGGTAGCGGATCGACGCTGTTTTGTGCCGAGTACTCGCCGAGGCCGTGCGTTCGATGATGTTGATTCTGATGATTCTGCGGCGGGGGCGACGCTTCCCTGACGCAGCCCATCAATG